GTTGAAATCATCTTTTTTTATGTTCAATTCTCTGGTACCTTTATTTCCACAAATAGTCAAATTGATCACTTTTTTACCTTTTTGTCTCATCAATAACCCTCATTCGGTGGCACGGTGATGCTGTGGTCAGCATTACTGCCTCACAGCACTGGGGTCCTGGGTTCAGGTTCAGTGCTTGCTATCTGTGTGGAGTTTGTATGTTCTTCTCGTGTTTCTGGGGTTTCCTCCACTTGTCTTCCACACTCCAAAGATATGCTTGGGTTAATCAGCTCCTGTAAAAACCTGGCTCTGGTGTGAGTGTATGTGTTTTTGTGGCTGTGCCCTGTGATGGACTGGCATCCTGTCCAGGATCTGTCCTGCCTTGTGCCCAATGCTTCCTGCAGTAGGCTATGGGCCACTGTAACGCAGAATTGGATGGATAAACTGTTAATGAAAGTCATAATATGATGATGTGCTAACTCTCACTGTGACAAGTGTAGTTTTTCTTTACCATGACCTGCTGCCTTCCACATTTATCTCTGAATTTGGTTCATATAGGCACTAGTTCTCTAGGCTTCATTTGTGGTCAACTATGCTTTAAAAAAGTTAGATTAGAACATTGCAATCCTCATTACCTTGAATATTTTTGTGCAAAAAATCTATACAGATCTAGATGCATTTAAAACGTTTATATTTTTTCTGTATTTTAATATTATCCCAACTGCCATTTCTTTACATTGAGTTCTCAGTTATTACAGAGGTCTAAAATGAAAGTCTTCACTCCTTCTTTTTTCAATTATTATATTTACAAATAATTAAGTATTATTATTATAAGTAGGCCATTTGTTGTAGCAGGTTTAAACGTGAGGATGATGGATATTTCTGTATATTTCTTGTTTTACTGCCACAAAGAATGCATGTTTTCGAGTAATATAAAAGTATGAGCCATGACCCTGTATTGGATGAATCAGTTAGAAAGTGGATGGATGAAAAGGCAAACAAATTTTTCATTGATATAAAAGTAGCCATAGGAATAAAAAAAGTGGTAAGGCAGTTGGCGTCTCCTCACAGCTTTTGGCCTGATCTTGGTCTGATTTATTTCTGTGTATAATTTTCATGTTGTCCCTATGAATCAGCAATACCCATCCATCTTCTGACCACTTCTTTCAATACCCAACTGTAAGGGGAGCCGAAACAAGAGAACATACAAACTCCATGTATGCAGATATTCCCCCATGTCCAGAGCACAACAAAGTAGCAATGCTGACCATTATGCCTCCTGACAATTTAAACCAAAATATTCTATACATGTTCAAGACCTCCAATTTTTACTTAAAAAAAACCCAAAATATTAGTTTTGTGTTTCTAGTGACAAAATTATTGTAAATGCTGAATATTTTGTAGTTTTAGCAGTTCTTTCACTAGCTAATTTGTCTTACTGCAAGTAAATATTACAAATTCTTCTTTTTTGTTCTTGGGGAATTCTATAAGCTTTCTTGAAGACAACCTCTAGAACTGGCTTTTTTTTGGGTTGTGATAATTCCTGAATTAACTTGTTGTCTGAGCTGAGAAGGGCCTGCTGTACAGTTTACATCATTAATCACTGCTAGAAACCTTTTATGTTTTCTCCTCTGACTGGGCTATTGTACTCTTGCACGCAATACTGCATATTTTATTATGTTGTTAATGTTAATTTGATTATTTTTTTTACAGTAAATCCAGATTAATTCTTGTATTTATTACTTTTCAGTTACTGTATAGCCTATATTTTATTACAAAGTGATAGATAATTTTCTTTAAAGCAACACCATTAAACAAAAAGTAATATCATCTTTTGCTGTGCCTTTAAAATGAACTAGGTCAAAACTATGATCAAAATAAACTACATGTTTATGTAAATGTAAACATTGTAAAAATTTAAAAAGGGTTTCAGTGAACTGTCAGTTTGTCTTGGTTTCAACTGCTAGTATCTGTCCTGTAGCTGCGAAGAAGTGTTTTTACCAAGGTAAAAGTCTTCCATGGGAGGTACAGCTGTTCATCAGGGAAGCTGTACACGATATTTTAAGCCTCCAGTTCCTCAGTGGTTTCTGAAAGAAATTGTGAAAAAACGAAAAAAAGTTTTTGGCTGTAACATTGCTGCTACCGTCTTGAGACTCTGTGTAAGAAGTGGCAAGTTTAAATTTAGCATACTAACAGATAGCTTTATCAGCCATCTGAAATAACTCTCCTGTTGTTCTCTGTTATTTCTCTAAGCTCTTAGCAACATTGGTTTACATGCCATTGTTGATGAAGTCCTTTTATTGACATGAGCATTCCCTGCTGAATAACATTCCATAGCAAACATTCCTACTGTTTTGCGTACTGAATGTCTTTTGTTACCCTTGCAACTTTTATTAGAATTCAACCTAAATAATATTTGCTTAATGAGTCTTAAAAAAATCAGTTTTTAAGAACTGCACATACTGTAAATATATACTGTAATTACAGTTTTTGCACCACGCTTTTATGCCATTATTTTCTCCCTTTACAATATTTCTATAATGTCTGAGCCTTGTTATTGACTTTGCCTCCTTATTATTCCGGGGTTTTCTCAGATCAGTTAATTTGATATTCCTGACAGCCTATTTATGTGTAATTAAATGTTGCACACACTGGACAGCTAGAAAGAGTTGTATGTGCCCGACGGACAGACTTGGCTGGGGATCCATAGACCTTGATGTTCCCATGGGTTTTCAGAATGAAACGTGGTGAGGGTGGATTGTGCTTTTTGTGATTCAAAACCCTCTTCTCAAAGGAGGTCAGGCAGAGATAGTCTGGGCAGAACTGTTTTCATTAGCCTCGTAACAATGACTGCCTCATGGTGATTACTGTATCAGAAGACACATTGTCCTCCCATCCTCTCCTTCGACATATGTCATCTAATATTTGCCAATTAGTTCAGTGATCTTCCTTTAAAAAATACATTGTGTCTGCAAAATGCTAATGTGGTTAGTTTATTAATACTTTTAACTAGTGGGAATATTGCGATTTTGTTTTTTGCTATTAAAGTTTGGTGTTGCTTTCTAAACAGCTAAAAATTCAAACTGTTTTTTATTTCAGGAGTGAAAATTACATTATTGCAATTCAATAAAATTAGGTTGCAGAAAAGTGTGGCTGTTAGTGCTACAGTCTCACACTTCTAGGCTCTTGAGTCTGATTTTGCGCTTTCCATGTGGAGTTTCTGGATTTACCCTGTGTTCCCATGTGATTTCTCTGAGTGCTTCATTTTACTGCCTCCTCCCAAAGACGTGCTGATAGGTTGATTGGCTGTGCTGAATTGGCATTTCTATGAGGAGTGGGATTAGGGCCCCTGCCTCATTAATCCACCCTCTTGAATTGCTCTCTCTTGCTCATGGCTCAATGAGCGATTCTCATGTCTTGCATAATGCAGTGAGGGGCTTCATTACGAGTACTTCTACACTGTTGGATTCTACTCTCTATAAAGCCTGTTTGTCCAAAATGAAAGGGGGTTAGTCAGAATTACTATTTTCATGGTAGCAGACTGAGCCATATTCTAACTTTAAGACTCTGCAATAATACTAGTTTTGCAAATATTTACTTTATTAAGTCCTCAAAATGTGTTGTGGTTTCCAATCCTGCATTGTGCTTCTTTTTCAGACGTTATGTAGCTTATATACAGCCAACACTGTATTGATAATGGTTTCTTGGTAGCCTTTAGCTGCCACGTCTCTCGGAGAGTTAAAAGATGCGTTGCAGACTGTGAACAAAGGCAAGCTCCCTGGCTTTGATGGCATACCCCAGTTTCTTCTCATTTTTTGAGATCAGCTGAGACCCTTACTACTTGAGATGATACAGATGGCTACAAAGAGGGGTTCCTTTACTAGAAACTGTGTCATGTGGTAGCTATTGGCCCCTGTCCCAGATAAAATTTACATGCTAAAATATACGCAGAAGTGCTCATGCATAGACTCAACACTTAGATGTCTAAATTCATTCATCATGCCCAAACAAGATTTCTTAGAACCTAAGGAGTGACAAATAAAACTCTCCATCTCCTTCATTTTACTCATGCCACTGTTAATACCATAGCTCGGTGCGCATTTTTCAGTCAGTTGTTTCTTTAGCTGGTAAAAAAGTTTTAGGTGGAATGTAACATATGCGACTGGGGACAGAAAAAAGAAGTATAGGCAAACTCCTTGACGCTGGTGCGTTTTCAGGGCACTTGCCAGGAGCACAAGCACCCAATCTTATACGTGTGTCCCTATCTGTATTAGGAATCACACATTTTATTATTATTTATTCTTATTATAAGATATCATGGTATGTTTAGAGGATATGACCAGTCACTGCCTCTTTCTATTTAGTAAAAACTTGTAAGTTCACTTTTGAGACATAACATTAATTGCCCTGCTTCCTTTGAGTACTTCACTGAAATGCTCTTTTAAATGAAAATGTATTGAATGGCCAAGCATTTTAAACATATAGAGAGCTTTTTTGGGTTGGGGGTCAGATTGGCATGGGAGAAAATGGGATTGTTTTTTCTTTGTTTCTTGAATGTGGTTCTGCCTCAATGCCTTCTTCAGTGTAGCTGGGATAAAGTTCAGTTAAGGAAAAATAACATTTGTTTACTTGTTAATTTGTTTTAACATTATTAAAATTAAGAATGAAACTGTATTCATAAACCCTACAGGACACAAAGAAGTTCTGCATGTGGTAATTGTACAGGTATAAGTTGTTCTTGCTATTTAGCATAATGCCAGAGATTTATTTCTATTATTTTTAGCATTTAGTTTGGTCCTTCGTTTCTGAAACGGACGTTTTGCTTAATAAAAAAAACATAGTGCATCATAACCCGCAGGGTTGGGAGACAAACCTTTGTTTAATGGAATGTACTGTAATGCCCAAATACAGCATGTGAATTTAAGTGCCAAAATATTGCAATATGAAGCCAACGCCCAGTTAAATCTGCCCGTGGTGATTACTGTTATGACTCAACGAAGCCTGATCTTTTTTTTTTGTAGGACCGTTCAAGAATGTATGACAGCTTGAACATGCACTCCCTGGAAAGCTCACTTATTGATATAATGAGAGCTGAACACGATCCATTGAAAGGTAGGTTTTTACTTCAGAGATGCTTTTTATTTGCAGAGCAATTTGCAACCAGTTCCTGTTTTTTTTTCATTCGCCTTTGTAGCATTTTATCTGAAGCCTGAGTGTCCTTTGTAAATGCCGGGATATAGATTTAAAAATACAGGGAATGTTTTCATTAAATGTATCACTCTTGGGGCTGTTTGTTACGGAACTAAAAAAATAAATCAATTTTCCCTTCCACTAAATGCTTCTGATTAACAGTGGCTGTCACTTAATTGTCCTTTTAAATTATTTCCGCCTGATGCCTGTACCTTGTTTGTAATGCAATGTAAAAAAGAAACACTGCAAAATTAGGTTGGGAAAGAAAACTTTAATGAAGGCTGTTTAAAAAAGAATTACAATAAATAGAATAACAAAGGATCAGTCAGGCAGGCATACATTAAACACAGTAACATTGTATTATATATGTATATACGTTTCCGTATTTCAATCGTTTTTTACCTTACATAATAGTCACTACTGAACCAAGGATGGCAAAGTACATGGTTAAAGCAAACCCTTGGCATGCATGCAGCTGTGCAATGGCGCGAGCAGAGGTAGAGAATTCCTGCCATGAAGTGTGTACGGCCCTGGAGCTCACATTGGTATAAGGAAAGGAGAGCTGTAACAGCTGTTGTTGTTATGCCTACTTTGTAGTGTAAATGCATTGGCTCATTAAGCAAAACAAAAATACAAGCAGTGTGCTGTGCAAATGGTAGCCTTTTTTAAATATGTATGTGCTGTAATCCAGTAAAAATCTGACCTACTTTAAAAGCAAGTTGGCTGTCCTGTCCTCACCTGCCCCACCCTTACAGCGAACCGTTAAAAACAGCAGTTACTCTGGAATAATGAGAAAAACATACTGTTTCACTGCTGTGTTGTAGTGACCTTCATTTCATGGTTTCCATAAACAAGCAGGCTATACAGTATTAAGATTGTTGATAGCAATGCAGTGTTTTAGCTGAATACCACAAGCTGTGCTGAGTTTAGATTTGACTTCTAAATGTATCAGTGAAGTGATTAACAAATCATTTTGTTTATCTTTCCCTCTGTAGAAAATATCTGGAATATTTGCACACACTCTTTTTTTAAAATTTGTCACAAAGAATTTGCAAGGATACTCTGGTTTGTTTTAGCGTGGTGCAGTAAAGCTAGATGTGTTTCTGTTACTCATGTTTGAGAACGTTTTTGTTTTTCACGATTGCTGCCCAGAAATGTTAAAACTCTTTGTTGGAAGCAAAAGACATGTTCTTCCCAGTGAAAGTCACATTGAAGCACAAAGCCTGCTTTCTTCCAGCTAGGAACTTATTTACAGCCAACTCTTTGAACATTTAGATGACCTGAAACAGTGCAGCTTTTATGTCGTACTGCAGTGGTAAGAAAGAGAGCTATTGGAATGTCAAGCACGTGCCCTTGATTTGGCTGGTAATTCGGCTGCAGAGTGACTAAGCGTTTTATACCTGACTTTCAGTATCATTCATTCAAAGTCACTTTAAATAAAGAATTTCAATTAACAATTTGAAAAACTTCAGGGAAACATGAAATAAGGCATACAGCATTAAAACAATATTTTTTCGAACACGTGGAATAACAAAGAATTGTGCCGGACCTTCTTGTTCTACCTTCTCTTAGTGTTTAATTTTTTTTATTTTGATAAATAAACAGATTTTGGATGTTGATCATGTTTTTGCTTGTCATTTTGATTAATTGATCATGACTTGCTGTGATACACTTGAGTGACTGACTATTGCATTAGCACTAAATCACTTAATTAATGTGACAGTAGATTGGGTACTAGTGATGATTTGATTTAACCCATTGAATGTGAAGCCTTGTGACTGCAAAAAGCGATATCCCATATTTATCAGTGTGCTATCAGTATATTAAAAGAGAACTACAGTCCCACTTTCTCAGACCAGTTATTAAATCTCAGTAACAAATAAATTCATTGACGGTATAGAAAAAGTTGTAAAAAGTATATTTTTACAAATTTGGAATGAAGCTCAAATTTGTGAACTTTGTGAAAGTACTGTAAGTTGCCATGTTGTCACCAACCCCTGGTTCCCACAGAGAGAGTTTCCGCAAATTGTGACATGATGCGGCCCTTCCTGCTCGCTAGTCACTGTAATAACTGATGCAATGTGATGTACGAGCAAGTTAAATACAGGTTGTGCAGCAGGTATTTCAGAATAGAATATGGTGCTGTGCATACTTGGAAATTTCATCTATTTTGTGATGTACTGTAAATTGGAGGTTTTACAGTTTATTGTGTGCATTTTACTTTTATTGTGGTTTGAAATTCATTCATTAATGCCGATTCTTTCTAGCCCTGGAATATAACAATAGCCTCACAGTTCTCCTTTAAAAGGTGGACTGAGTTATCTAAGGTGGACTTTTATGGAGCTTTGTCAAATGTGGTGATGAATTCTGGTTTTGTGTAGACCACCCTATTGGGCGTTGGTGTGTCTGGCACAGAGTTACAGACTTACACCATCACATTTATATTTATGTTCATTTTTATGGACTGATTGATGGAGTCCCAAGTGTGACGGTCTGACCTGCAGTCAGTGCAGTATCCCACTTGTACTGATTGAAGGCAGCCTCACTGCAAGGTGCTACATTGATTAAGTCCTAGAACTTCACCTGCTGCATATCCTGCAGGCTCATACTGACGTGACAACATTTGAAGTGAACAATACATGTGCTCATATTTGTTGTTTCTCAGGCAGTTCATGTCTGTCCGATAAGGTTTTAGTGCACCTGCTGCAATATTTTTGTCATTTTCTTGTGAATTTGTTACAGTTAAAAGGATCACTTGTTTTTGGAGGTAATTATGGATTCTATACAGTGCCTAGGGGTCAATGAAGATAAAGTACAAAGAATGACACGGGCAAAGCCACCTTACACCAATATTTACATTTCAAAAATTATATTAATTAATGATTATTTCAGATTAATGTTGCTATTGCAGTTTACAAAGTGCATTACAATGTGGATCTAATGGTCAGGAAGTTAGGATTAAGAAGTTGCTTACTGTTGGTCAGAGGGAAGCTAAAGTAATCTATAGTTATTCCTTGCTTGATGATTATTTTCATATATACTAAGTAATGCAATCCCTGTGAAATTGTTTACCCTTTCTGTTGACTAATACATGTGAATATAAATGCTTCTTAAGTGGACTTAAGTGGCAAATTCCTTATTTTTCTCCGTCTTTTAGCAGATACTTTGTTAAAACACTTTTCAGGGTTTTTAAATAAAGAACAGTCTTGTTTTCAAGACTGTAAATAAGTAAATAAGTCTTATGTGTAAACCATACCCAGTGCTGTTATGGAAGTACTGTTAGAGCTTCAAAAGGAACATGAGAGTGTGGTTTACCTGATAAATAAAGATTATTCTTTAAGTAAGTTTCAAGTAAGTAAATTGCTTGTTTAATCAGCTACATCTTCAATCAGCTTGACAGAAGTTGTGTTGCTAAAGTGAGAGAGAAAACTCCAGCTTGATAAGGACAATCACTCTGCCTAAAGGGGCAGTCTTTTTGAACGTCGCTCAATCCATCCATTTTAAACAGCTTTATCCAGTACATGGTCGTGGGAGAGCCGGGGCGTAACCCAGAAAGCAGCAGACGCAAGGCAGGATGTGCTTGGACTGGATAGCCAGTCCTTCACAGGGCACACACAGATACAAGCGCACACACTCCAGGGCCATTTTTTACAGGAGACAGTTAATCTACCTGCATGTCTTTAGACTGTGGTTGAAACTGGAGCACCCAGAGGAAACCCATGCAAACCTGGGGAGAACATGCAAACTCCACACCACCCAAGGAATTGAACCCAAGTGCCTCAGCGCTGTGAGGCAGCACTATTGAATTGCAAATGAAATGACTGATATGGACATTATTTTAATAATGTTAAAGACCAGTTTTGGTAGTAAAACCATGAGACCAATAACTGGCATAACTGTGATGAAATTTACCATTTGCCTTTTGTAATCATGCTAGATGACATGGCCTTTAAGCCAGGGCTTTGTATTTCTGTTTCATTTAAAAATTCTCTTGTCGAGAAAATATATTCTGACAGCAAGTGTTCCAGCAACTTTGTTGTTTCAGAATAAATATTGTAAAATCTGCTATACCATTTACCATATGTAATTACAGAACTAAGCAATAATCAGCATTATTCTTCTGCCTACTGAATGATGAATTTAAAACATCTTGTAAATATATGCCTTAGTTAATACAGTAGTATATACTATATGGTGTACAAATAAACAAGACCATTTTCTTCAGTTTAAGTTTTCTTTATAGCTGTACTTTTATGTACCAGCATGCACAATTTAACTTCTGCTCAACATTGCTAAAAGAAAAATGAACAACAAAATGCTATGTCAGTTTAAGGAGGCACAAACAATACCAGTCGGTATATTTAAAACTCCTTCACCTTTGATGTTCCACTGGTAGGACTCCTTATGTAAAGAATAATCAATTCTGTTTGTTCCTATTCAACAGGAGAAAGACAAACCTTTTTATTCTGAACAAAAAGAGTATAGTACAGTACTATGCATGGATAACCTACCTTTACATGATTTTTTGTGGTTGATATCAATCAGACTACAAAACAGATATAGAAATTAGTTTGAAATGATCAATGCTATTTTTAACACACAATTAAAACAAAAGTATGGGCATTATGATTGTACGTAACCAAAGGACTACACAAAAAAGATACGAAAATTCATCAAGAGAGTGAACTGGCAAGGGAAAGTACTGTATAGAGTTCACATTTATGTGATGTGGGGCACATGTAAAGTGTTGGAAAGGGCGGATGTGAGGTTTTGTAGTTACCAGGAGTTAGTTTAGGACACACCTGGAGACCGTGAATAACTGCTTTGTGCTGCCTGACCTAGAGTAAAATATTTGGTACAGTATCTTTGCTTTTCGTGTGAATTGCGGCATAGTTAGAGGAAGAGTTGTAGTGAGTGGAAAGTTATGTACATTCCTAGCAAACAGCTGTGTGAAATGGAGATGAAAGGTCTGGAAACTGCACAACACAGAATCCTTGGCTAGCAGAAGAAAAAAAGAAACCAATAACTTGTATGACTTTCAGTATTGTTTGTATTAACAGAACATTGGTCACAAACAGATCTGTTATTTGTATTTATGAAGGATTTTCATCACATTAATTAATACACTGGCAGTAAATTTTGTTAACCTTTTTTGGCTTTGACAACCATGCAGAAGCACTTCCTGTAGCATGAGGGATCATGAGGTTCATGAGGGATATTTCTTCACTTCTACATCAAGAACCACTTCATTTCCTCCAGGTTGCATGATCTGTGCTTGTGTTCTTTCTCCAGGTTATGCCCCAAATATTCTACTAGATTCTGTGATAACCATTCAAGAACACTGATTTATTATGCCATCTTAACCTGTAATTGTTTCATATTATATAAAGTCTGTTTGCGACTAAGCTTGAGCATTATGTTAGAAGGCATAAGTCTTCTAACCTGACTTTCCAGGTACTCAGTAATCCATATATCCTTCAGTTCTAAGACTCGAGGACTTGAGGATGCAAACTAAACCTATAGCAAAACAGTTCTTGTTCTCTTCTTCACAGACATTGAAGATTACATGTTCTCAACAGGAGCTACACTTTCCTGCCCTAATCATACTCCTGGCGACACTGCTCAAAATCTTAATTTGTGTTTCATCCAGCCAAATGGTCCTGTTAGCAGTTGGAAATCAATGTATTGCTGTTCGGCATATTGTTTCCTTTTTATGTTGCCATGGAACACGGGTACAAAACCCAGATTTTGAAACACACAATTCCTGAAAGAGTAGCAACCATCTGATTATTCTTGAACCTCTAACAATGGATACTATAGTTAAATTGGGGATGTCTTATATTTATTTCTCGAGTTGTGGAGGTAGATAATACTTTAACTTTCTCAATTCACAATTCTCTTCTCTGCGATGAGGAGATACTTAGTTTTCTGTGTATGTGTTCAGCCATCTTTAATACGTACTGGCAATCAAGGTGACTTCTAAAAGTTTCTGAAACTTTAATAAACTACCAGATGACTAAATAACTAGGGGATTAAATGTAGAGTGTTTATTTTCACCAAATTTCAAGTGTATGAAAAAATGTGAAGATTGTATGTTTAAGTAATAAGAAAAAAAGGAATTATTCCACAGCTATACTATTGATGTACTGTATATAGAACACTCAATTTTGCACATCGTCAAATTTTAATGCATGAATGATGAAACTTCTTGATATATGCCAGCTTCTTCTGTGCTAAACAAATAAATTAATTTCCATTTAATCTTAAATGCATAGAATTGAAGATTAATGTGTTTTGTGTAGGTAGATCTGAAGTTTACTATAGAAAGGCTGTACACAACCATATATATTTTTTTAATTTAGTTGGCAGCAATATACCATGTGGAAAAAGTAATAAATGTGCCAGAGTATCTGCTGAGGTAACCATAGATCTGCATTCAGAGCTATTAAACTTTGCCCATTTGTGATTCAGAGGTCTCCCTGGGACAGTAGAATACAAATTAATTATATCTGACAACCATAGGACTTCCCCAGCACTAAGTCAGGCAGCATTATAGAACAAGTGCAGTCTCTTCCCATGGGCATCTGTTGAAAATCTATTGTGACAGCAATTTGAACATGAACAGAATGATCAAGGACAGTTGTCTTTGCGTTTTAAAACAAAATGGCTAAAAAACAAAATGAGTCTTCATGGCTATGAATACATTTAACCTGTTTTATTTGTTTTTGCTGCTATTTATATATATTTTTAATTTTTGTTTTAGGCAGAATGGGATACCCACATCCAGGAACAGACAATCTTCTTATGCTAAATGGTAATTATGTTGACTTTTTTTCAATGTGCTGTATTTAGTTAATTTTGTATATGACCGGGCACTACACACAAGAATAAATCTTTGCTGTGTGTTCCCACGTATTTTGGCCACCAAGAAACTGTTATGAATTTAAGTTTTAATTCCTGCAGACCATGTGTTGATTATTCCTAACTTTTACTGATACTACTGTGTATCCAAAGCGCACCCTGCCCTCTGGAAGATTTGCAGTTTCAGCTCATTATGAAGACTAGAAATTTATTACCATGCCTCTGGCACAGCATTTAAAATGAACTAGCTTATGCCTGAGAAAGTAGTGTATCTTTGAGTATTTGTTTGTGATTAATTGGATACACATGCATATTGTTTTAAAAAAATGTCTCTGTTGAAAATATCCTTGTTTTACTGAGAAAATTTAGTACATTATTTCATCCTGTTTTCTGGAAACTTGTTTCCGTTGTTTGGAAGATGGCACTAGCACAGCAACCATGAAGATTCAAATGCCATTTCTTTTTTTTCTTTTTTCAATGGAACACTTCACATGGGGGGGGGGGGCACAAGTATTCTAGAAAAGGATTCTTTTTATCGAACATTACGTACAGACTTTGAGACCGCACAAGTAGACAATTCAGTGAGAAAACTTTGTGAGGTCAAGAACAAAAACTTTTTTGGATGATTTGTTCTCAGCCTCTCATTATAGTGCATGAGCACGCAGGATGAGAGCCATATCGATCAAACTTTGCTCTTCCGCGGCAGTTCTGGAGGATGACAGATTTCAAAAGGCAGCAGCTGTTTTTTTCCACAGAGAGAATGACTCATGTCATTACATCAACCATATAAAAAGGTCATGAACAAAGCCATCTGGTGCAAGTGTTATTCTTTCCACGTGCAAGTGACCTGGTCGGTCATCCTTACTAGTAATTGTAACATCTAATTCAGTAGCTTTAGCCAGGAAAATAAACAAAATTAGTATGTTTCTTTTCCTTTAAGTGGAGTTGGTAATTGGACCAGGAATTTTAGACTTTTTAATATCCTGATATGGAAATGTGATAGACAAATGGTAAATATGTTTTGCAATAAATGCTCTTTTAAAAGTGATACAGAAAATCCCTTACTGACCACAGAATGAAGTGAGGGTTTTTCTTTCATTCCTTATCTTTGTCTCAAGGGGAAACAGAAAAACGTTAAGAGACTGTCTACTGCAGGAGTGAGTAGGGTTCCTTGTCTTTCTGGCAAAATGCTACATAGGCTGAAGTAAATTACTTTTATATGGTTGGAGCTAACTTCTGAAATTGCTGGGAGCTGCTCACATGATTTAGAAAGTTGACACACATATTTTGTGGTTTTGTCTTATAATGTAAGGAAACCATTTTGCTGAATGTTAGTTTTTGAATTTTGTAGTTCTATAATTCTTAAATAGTATTACTAGTAAATCAGTTCAGATTTTTTAGTAAATGCTGAACATTTAAGATGTACTTTTGTTTGTCCTATTTTTTTGCCTCTCACTGAAGAACTGGATGCAGTGCTTTAATAAATGTATTTATAAATATGTCTTTGAAGATATTTAAAGCATCTTGGTCTGTTCTTTTAATTAATAGGCCATGAAAACATATTAAATATCCCCCATCTCTCATTAATATCTTACTTTAATGACTGGAAAGGAAAAACAACATTGTATGGAAATATGTTATAATCCTCTCCATCTCCAAATTTCACAGAAAATTTGCCATGGAAAAATAGTTTATTATTTTGAATCCTAATCCATATTGGTGTAGACATAAAATCCTGAAATATTTAAGACTGTATCTTGCAGACTTGATGGACAATGTCCATCTTAAATTGTTTAGTAAGTAATCAAGTCTCCAGTGTAGCACAAGCAAATGTAGTACATTTGGTACTTGACGGTATCTGTTTTTTGTTTATTTTTACACCCTGTTGTGGTTGAAACTTGGGAGTTAATGAGGTAAATTAAACCTTATGAAGTAGGTGACTGACATGAAAATAGAATTCACAATATTTCACATTTTCTTTCTAGAGAAATAAGGTTTCACAGATGAACTTGTAACCGCTGATACTTTGCTGATTAACAATACAGTACATTTATGAGTGTCACAGAACATATAATAATATACCTTAGTTTTCATTCCTTGCTATTTTCAAACCTGGGATCTGGGAACACGTGATACCTAAAAATAGCATACATGTGCCATCTTGCTATCTGTGTGCATATATCAGGATTCAGCTCCAGGCACTTCACCTTCCTGCCCTACTATGATTTATTTCAGTACTACTTTGTCAGTCTACAGTACGAAATATACACTCATATTTAATCATAAATTGCTACAGTGCCTAGTACACAATTATTAAGTGTAGCCTTCTTTTTTTTTTGTCTAGCTAAAGTGCCATTATTGGCATATTGTTGGAAGGCTGTCTCGTCTGTGTCATAGCACATTCCATGGTACAAACTAGACTGTGACCAGACACAGGAGTGAATGAGGACTTGTAGGCAGACTCCACTAACCAGCCCGCCTTCGAAACCAGTGAGCCACTCATCACAGGCACCACATCTCCATACTGCAAGGGAGACATGCCCCCTCACTGACAGCACTGCACGCCTTCAAGCAACTGGGAGGCTGCAGGGGTTGCTGTGTTCTTGAGAGTCGAGAGAGCCCTGGTCCGCTGATCTTCCCCTGTCCTTGATGGCACTCAGCCAGTAGTGTACCGGCACATGAGAAATCACAATCACAGCCGGCTATTGATGTGACCCAGGCTGGCACCCACAGTAATAGAGCCATCCTTGATGTGTTAGGACATTTATTGTCATCAGAGTGGGTCAGTCACAGTGTTTTTAAAGAATGTGTGCTTTTGAAAAGCAAATCTTGATAAGAGCAGGTATTCTCGTCATAGTTTTTGCAATGATGTGAACTTTAAAAAATTTGTAATCATGCATTGTTTAGAAATTTTGAAAAGAAAAGTATCTTTTTACAGTTTAAATTATAATAAAAAAGGTTATTTGTGTTAAATCAATCAAATACAAGACTACACCTTCTTTATTGAACTCGGCTAATCACACTGCAGAAAACAGCTTAGTTATGGTCATAGTTAATCTGTGAGATATTTTTCATTTGCAGTATCAAAGTTTACAATTATGTTGGTTGTCAATACTCTAGTTCAGGAGCTGGCAATATTGTTTGTCAGGGTGCTCAAAAATCTTGTTCACCCAGGTTGTAACAAAATTATCATTGAATAGAGTCAGTTGGTATCTGAAATATTTTTAAAATATAGAAAGATTATAAACTGTTGTTCTCATTTTAGTGCTTCATTTTCCGCTAAATGGTGTGGATCTTGGAGTGAAAAGGTTGGATGATCTGCAATAGACATCAAGAAGAAGGATGTTGTGTTTGAGGGTGGAATGGTGGCCCAGTGATTAGCATAGCTGCCTCACAGCGCTGGAACCCTGGGTTCAATTCCAGACCTGGGGTACTATCTGCGTGGGTTTTGTATGTTCTCCCCTTGTTCTCATGGGTTTCCTCCAGGATCTCTGGTTTAATCCCGCAGTCCAAAGGCCTACTGGTAGGTTAGTTGGCTTCTGGGAAAGTTGGCCATGGTGTGAATGTGAATGTGTACATGTTTGTGTCTGTGTGTGCCCTGCGATAGACTGGTGTCTCCTGGGTGTACCTTGCACACGTTACGTGCCGAGATAGCCTCTAGCTACCCCTGCGACCCTGCGTGAAACACTTGGAAAATGGATTGATAGATGTTTTGAATGAGAGTTGCACCTATTTGACAAGCTTGATAAATGTGGCGTGGATAAGATGGATAAGTGTAAGATTAATAATTCGAAATTTAAATTTCACAATTCATTAAAAAGAATAGGGAATTTGTTGAGGCCTGTTAGCTGAAGAAAAAGCATCTAAACATTCTTTTTATTGAAAACGATCCATTGTAAACACACCTGTAGAAGACTCCACAGCCGTAAAGTGGTGCTCTTTGTGTTGTGTCTCTTCTCTTTCCTTTCAGCATGGAATAAACCTTTGCCTGTTCCGTAATCCCATAAAAATAATCCCATTTAGCAACATTTTCATTTCTTTTTACTGGCAGACTCGCACCTTTCAGACATTTCCACATTTTAAGGCTGTTAAATTAACTAAGTATTATTTTTAAAAAGTCTTCTTGCACAAACTTTACAGCTGCTTCCATGCTAGGCATATATATTGCACATCATGTGAGCAGCACTTAAAACATAATGTAATTTTAAGTGAAATTGTAGACGTTACTTCTGTGGAGCATGTTTCCCTTTAATTATTGACTTCTTGATTTAAGTAGTATTTGAAACAGTTTTAGAAGACAAATTAAAAGCAGTGAAAATACTGCATTTTGTTACAGTTCCCCAAAATATAAGATATTTTTCAGTTTCTTGAATTATTGAAAATTGAAGGTTAGCTCTCTGGCTAGTGGAGATCACCGCTCATGTGTAGTTCACAGAAGTAATGCTTGCTATATACATGTATTTGTTAGTTTTCTCCTTTGAAAAATAGTTTTTAACCATTTGAATCTACCTTCTAAAAAATACCTCTGCAGCAACTTCAATTTTTTTTTAAATGAGTACTTTGAAGAAATTGAAAGTGATGTATAACACATCACACAACGGAAGCAAACAAAGAAACACAGCAAACAGACCAAGAATAATACTAAATTATACTAAATCTTTAGTGTAAGAATAGGTTTTATGCAAGATTTTAAAGTTCCAAAGATGTGGTGCTACACGCAAGAAGGCTCAACCACCTTACTGCATGGAATTTGTTCTTTAACAGAGCAAAAAGACCACATTCAGCAGATTCACAGCTGGCCCGCACTCAAGCCCTCAAAAATATGTGGCTAGACCATTCAATAATACATGAGAACCTTAAAGAACACTCTAAAGTTGTACATTTTACAGAGGATGGGTGTACCTTTGGTTAGCACAAGGGTCACCTGAAATCTTGTCAAAATGAAGCTGGCTTAGTAATATTTGAAGATAGTGTAAGGCATTACAGTAGTCTAACCGCGATTAAATAAAAGCGTGTCTAAATATTTAAGCAGGGTCTTAATTGAGCCGAGGTAAGCAGTTGGAGGGGGGGGGAAGCCAATGTTAAATTCCTAACAGGCTCACCCACAGTGAGATACTTGACATGATAACAGAGGTCAAAAGTAACAGAAGGGCTTTGGATTTTCATTAAATGTTTGATTAAAGCAGTCAACAAGTGCACTTCAGTACTCGAGTCCCAGCACTGAACTTTTCCGAACACCCTGTGTAAGTGGGACAATTTCAGATTTGCATGTATGCAAAATGGGAGCCAAGCCACTGAAAGGAACAACTAAATGATGAAAAGATGAAAATGAAATAAAGAATGTCACCTAGAAAATTTCCAAGCAAACCAGTAGGATGCTGTGATTGATAATATCAAAAGCAAAACTTAAATCCAGAAAAAAAATATCATGAGCCAGAAACTATCAGCAGATCATTAGCCAGTTTAACCAGGGCTCTTTCATTGCTGTGTTTCTTCTTAACACTGACTGAAAAGGCTCAAAGAACTCATTAGATGCAAAGTGATATTGTAATTGAGCTGTTTCCACCACTTCCTGAAAAAAGCAAACTGAAAATAGGGCAGCAGTAAAGTACCTGAGGGATCTTACCATTTTAAATGCAATATCAGCAGGCTTTAATTTTAATTAGATTTCAGGGGCTTGTTGACCAGGTGAGGTAGTAGGACCAGTAGGTAATCTGAGATAGTATTCTTATGGTTGTAGGAATAGGGTTCAGGACACAGATTATAGGTCTCATTTTGCCTATTAACTCAGTTATGTAGACAAAATCAAAAGCAGGACAGTAAGGGAAACTTCTTTCCCTTTCAAATCTGTTTTTTTATACAGGTATTACTGATCTGAGCCAATATTGTTGTGGATTGTTGTGCTTTTGTGATAACTGCTGAAGTTTTTGTTATGAGATATTCCTTCATACATCTAAAAGCCTAAATTGAGTGCAAAAGATTAATATGTTTCAAGATAATGTTATGGCTCACTGAGTCATTGAATAAGTCTGCATGTGGTATGCTGTATATTTTGCCTGCAATAGTAGAATTTATAATCTGAATGATCCAAAGCATCTTCGTCTGTTGATGATGGCAGATAAGGTTCTGTGTTTCACTGTCGCTCTTAAAGGCAGATTTGAAAACATGCTTGACCACTGTGAAGACACTAATATCAAATGGCATATCGCTGGTAAGAGAAGATAAGGAAACATTTTCAGCTAACAATTTTAGGAATACATCAATACCCAAACCCTGTTTTTGAAATAGAAAAAAAATAGTTATATTGCTTGAAAGAGCTTCACTAAATTTTTAATAGTCATGAGATGGGAAACTGCCTGTGGTGTTGTGCTTCTTAATGTGCAAGGGCAATTTACATTTTGCTCCCAATTGTTGAAATGAAACTAAAACTGACAGAGCAGTCCTCTAGGTTTCCAGTCATCCTGCTGTTGTGTTTTCATATCTTTGCTTTAGGGAATTACCAGCAAACAAGAAGCTGAAGGTCTGAAACAAACCCATGCAGTTGTAATAATGCAAGAAAGGTTACAAACAAAAAGAGGCCAGTGAAAAACTTTAATTTTCCAAGTTGAAATGACATTCAGTTCCTTCCAAAATAATGGGTCAGCAAAGTAAAAACTAAAGTTTTGCTTTTCAGCCAAGTACCTTCCTATCTGTAGATGTCTTTTTTTCCCTTTTTCTTATCCGTATCATTAGATTAATGTGAATGATAAGTGTGTTTCATTTTTGAAGCAATTCCAAGCATACAGTGGATTAATGTTAAAACAAAAACGTACTTTGTGTTCAAACCAATTATTTTAAGTGCGTAAATACTGGGACACATTCACTTATAGGATTGTAAATTACAGAGTGTAAAAGTCAGTATTGGGTTGCAAATCCCTTTGAGACAATCACCACATGAATTCTATGACCCATTGAGCTCTCTAAACACTTTCTGCAGTCATTTGAGATGCTTTAGTTCTGCCAGTTTCAGTTCTTACCTGCTCTTGGGGTGTTCTGACATCAATTATTTCTTCAACATGTTATGTACATGCTCAATTACATTTAAATGTAGGGATGAATTTGGCCAGACTTAACATTTGTTATCTGCTGATGAACTCCTTGTTTGTATTGGCTTGCTGTTTTAAGTCATCGTCATATTCTATGGTAAAGCATTGCCCGATTAGTATCAAAGAATTTTCATTTAAAAATTGTTACTGTAAACTTCAGATTCTCTTCTGATGCTGACATAATTCGGCCACATCATCTATAATGACAGGTGAGGCAGCCACAGATGCCCAGATCATGATGTTATGTCCACTATGCTTCACCGATGAGGTGTTTTTCTAGGGAGCATGAATTATTTACTTTTTTCTCAGCACTTTTAACCTTTCAATTCACTTTGGCAAAAGTTTATCTTGGTCTTATTCGTCCATAAAATTCTGATCCAAAATGCTCCTGGCTCATCTTTGTGCTTCAATTATAATTATAATCTGACTTTTCTTTGCTGATGAGTTGTTTACATTTTATGGTGTCGCTTTTTGTAATACTGCTCTCAGCCTTCTACACACTGGATTTTGATACCTTCATCCCTGCTCTCTGGAGGTTGTTGGTGATCTCACTGACAGTTGTTTTAGGGTTTTTCCAGATACAGTAGCTCTGATAATTTGTCTGTCTTCAACTGCATATGTTTTTCTCAGCTGATTGGTAATTTCACCTGAGGTTTCTTTTACATTGTGGTTCAAATGGTTGATCTCGGTATTCCCAATTCCTATACTGTGATTCTGATTTGCTTGTTTTCTTTAAGCTTCAATGTTTTTTAAGAAAAGGTTCTCTAAAAGCTCTACATGTGCCTAATTACCCAACAATGAACACTTGACCAAGAAACACATGAATCAATACTTTAAAACTCACAACACCTAAAAATAAATAGGGTTTTAATGGTCAGTTTCATTCAACCAAGACAGTAAAACTGAAATGATGATATTAAGCATTAAATACTTAGAAGCATATAGCATTCTTCATTTTCATGAGAGCCTATTGTTAAAATTCCAGTTTAAACTTCACTATCCCTATATTTTTGGAGGGCACTGTAAACTATATGTTAGGTGTTATATGGTTAAATAGTCACACATAATGACTGCTTCATGTAATGTAATTATAGCCCTCTTTGCTGTTTTCAGAAAGATACAATGAGTATAAGTGATGTTTTTGTCTGGTTTTCTAACTGCTAAAATCACTTTGTGCTTTGTTTACACGCAGCAAGGAGTTATGGGAGAAGACGAGGTAATGCACTTCTGTGTTTTGCTGTTTGGGTTCAGCATGATTCCCAGTGGTTGGCAATTAATTCAGTGACCGTAATCAGTGCATGTTGTTGACTATTGATTTGCTTTAGTTTTTATGTTGAACAGAACACATTTGTTTAAATTAAAAAATTGTCTAGTTATTACTTTAACTTAATAATACTTTACATCCATTCACTATCTGACTTTATCCCTTTTGGATAAAGAATGTGACTATACAGTGTATAACACTGTATAATTGTTACTGAATGAGTCGAATTGACCTTGTTTAAAAAATAACTTTGGAGTGCATGTACTGCTAATTAATTGTATTTAGTCCAAATCAAATCAGTTAGGCAGATAATTTTAATTACACCAATTATTTTGCACCTTTCTATGTTAAATAAATCCTTTATACTTTAGAATTAATGGCAGGGGTGGAGATGTGGCTGTGGAAAGACTGCTGGGTGCTCCAGTCCCATTTAATCTGTAATAAAACTCATATTTACCAGAAGTCCTTGACTGCTTGTACAATGATGTAACCTTGCAGTAGCAATGAAGTATGTGATTATATTTCAAAAAGTTCAAATAAACAAAGCCCTCAAATAAACAGACCACAGAACTATCACGGTTTGGTAGACGTCTGTAGCTCTCTTCAGGTTTAATAAAGTCATGAGATGCTTTAATCAGTAGTCTCTCTCCACTGTGCTGTCCAAGATGTTTAGGTATTTAAAACTTGATTATTTTACATCAAATACACATATAAATTCCAGTCTGGTGTTCCCCAAATGATGTGTGTAGTGCATTTACATGCAGCATTCTACATTATTAAAGAGCTGTACACTACAGCCCATTAAATAGGCTGTCATTGTATAAGGCTTGTGTATAATTGAAACTTGCATTATTAAGTAAGGTGTTTCCAAAAAAAAACAAATAATTAGAGGTTGGCACAATGTAATCATAATTACATAATCATACTGTTTTTTTCTCATAGTGGCTAGTCTTTTTATTTTATGTAGTATAATGTATTCTGTTAGCCAGGATAACCATGAAATAAATAGCCGTAATATCATTCATTTCTATCTGATGTATGTTTCTGAAGATGAATTAGGTTAAAATTGTGAAGCTTTACTTACATGAGGAAATGTTTTACTCAACAATACACCGCTTACTGTAAACCTGTCTCAGAGGATTCATTTACTGAAGTTTGTAGTCACAGTACTTTGTTTTAGAAGGCCTTTAGCAAAATACTTCCCGTGCTTTTCAGGCCTTCATGCTAGTTAAAACAATAGCAGAACAAGTAAGTTCTCTATAATTTCAGTTTCAAAAGATGAACATGTATTCTAAGACTGTAAAGGTTGCTTGTATCGGTACACACGTCATGAATTTAATTAATGGTTGTTGCCAGGAGGCTATTTCATTGAACTCTGTGGACAGCCTTATTCTGTGGTCTGTGTCTGAAATCACCAGGAGCCAGCTCCCTTGGACTTAATTCCCTAGCGAGATTTTTTTTCTCTCCTCTTCTTCTTTATGATGTAGAGGTTAATGCAGATCTGTATGTGAGCCCTCAAGCCAAGATCAGATCTCCTCTGGGACCTGAGCAGGCATTGTCTTGGCTACATAGTGCACGTAACAAATTAAACAGTGCTCCAGATTTGCCAGGTCCTCCACTAGGGAGTCAATTTTTGCTTTATTTTCTTGTCTACAGCAGCATAGGAAATACATTTTTTTCTACTTTTAATTTTTTGTGCTTGTATGAGGCATAATTATGATATACGGTGCACATTGCAAAGAGGCTTTTTTTGTTTTTGTAACATTTGTTTTTCCTTTCACGTGGTCATTGAGTAAAGGAGTCTTTTCTAGGAAATCCCTGTCATAGAAACATGCTCATTTCAATTTTGCTGTGGATTCGGTGGCAGCTTTTCTAGGACAGTTGTTATTTTTGCTTTTAAATATTTAATTTATAGATTGCTATATGTCCATGTGATTGATTAGGTAGCAAGCGAACTTGCAGCTTGAAAGAGTATTTGAGTTGTACAAGAAATTGTGTAATGTGTAAGGATACCAGATGGCATTGCCAGTTATCTTCTTTTGTGCCATTTTCTACTGTTATTTTTAGTTAATCTCAACCCCCCCATAGCATTGCATATGGTGGTAATGCTAACCATGTATTGTACCTAGAAATTACCTAGAAATCTTGAAATATCCCTTTATCCTCAATTTCACCAGTTGTTCATATATTTTATTATGAAATTACCTTAATATTATTCAAAACAGCTTACACGTACAGAGTTCACTATTGGAAACTAATTGAAGTTCATTTCAGTCCAAAAACAAGAGGCACTACCGTACACAAAAGATTGTGGGAGTCTGGAACAAGCCTTCACATTAGCTGATACAATCTCTTCTTTCAAGAAATGGCTGGTCTCAAATCAATAAGGAGCTAAATGGGTCAAACAGCCTTTTCACATTAGCAGACCTTGTTCTTAGTACAGATAGCTAGTAGGCTTTTAAGAACTGCTCTGAAAGTGTAAAAGTAATCTTAACTCACTGTTGTATAGTGCTCAGCATAATGGAAATGAAACACTGACAAATGTGCTGTTTTGTGCTTGCCTGTTCAGTGCAAGTTCTGTACCATTGTAAGGAAAATGGAAGATGCTTTTTGACTGCCGCAGTTCTGCCTCATCAAAGTCACTTTTAATGTGTAAAGTGCTAGTTATAAGAAGCTGTTTTAATTTGTTTTTTTTTGCTTTGGAGGGAAACTGTCCTGTGAAGAGAGGAAGCATTTTTTGAAGGATACAGTATTTTGTTCTGTTACTACACAACGTTTTGCTCTGTTCCTCACATCTACGTTTATTCATATGGCATTGCTTAACTGTTCCTGAAAACAAGAAGTTAATGTTAATGTTACATAAAGAATATGTAACACATATTTTTTCACATTTCAGTCCACTTTTTTACACATTGCGTGGCCTGTATGTTTCAGTGCGGTTTGTAACAATGGATCTGGCAGTCTCCGGGGGATTTGCAGGCGCCTAACCTGTTCTGTGCTTGCTTCTCAGGACGCTCCTCCCTGTTCCCTATCGACGACGGTCTCCTGGATGACGGGCACAGCGATCAGGTGGTCCCTGGCGTCCTCAGCTCTCCCAACTGCTACTCCCACCAGAATGGCGAGCGTATCGAGCGCTTCTCCCGCAAGGTGTTTGTTGGTGGCCTACCCCCAGACATTGATGAAGGTGAGAAGACGTTGACTATGTTTAATAATGCAGCAGCCCTTCCCCAAGGGAGGAGTGGGGTGTTGTGAAGCTGTCATGCTCCATTATTTACAAGACCAGCTGGCAGCTCCTTGATTAAAATAAACCACTCTTAATTAATTCTTTATATTTTCTACAGGGAAATATAAAAGCAGGAAGGGTATTGTAGGCGTCCTTCAAGAAGGAAAAAAAAAATGGATAAATAGCAAGCTTGCCGGTTTCATAATAAAACGAAGGTGTTTGTCCAGATCTTTTTAAGGATAGATGGCAATTACGTTCTTCCCTTTTGGTTATTTTCTGCAGATGAAATCACTACAAGTTTTCGCCGCTTCGGACATCTTGTAGTTGACTGGCCTCACAAGGCAGAGAGCAAATCCTACTTTCCACCAAAAGGTAATGAAGATCGAGGTGTACAGCTTCACACCTCTCCGGTCATTCTCACAGACCTGACATTATTTTCAGAAGATAGATCATTACATAATGGATTATTTTTTAGGTGTTTAGTCTGAAAATTGCTACCAAGTTGAGGGGCACTATTTGCACTAAATATATTCATTGATTATATTTTCCATTTCATTATGAAATGTGTCTGGTTTTTAATTTTCAGCTGTTATGTATAGCATTTTAACACATTGAAATATTTAGACTTAGTAAGATTTCTAGCTTCCAAGGGGACTTTTTTATTAATCTCTGCAGAACAAGTTTAATGTTGCTTAGTTGATTATTTAACCAAACCATGTCTGTTTAGTACAGTATCATTATGCACACACTTATAAAGGCAGATGTTGAGTATTTGTTCACATTTATAATGTAGTCAGGGAAGTAATTAGGCAGTGCATTTGAGGCTACAGTGTGCACAGCGGACCCAGAGGTAATCATAAATTATACATAAATTATTCCCTCTTTTGCGTAAAGTAGTAGTGACTAATTTGGCGCAGCTCCTCGGCAACAAAAAAAGGAAGCAACCTTTCTGCTCATTGTAAATTTAGCTAGAAATGTTTAACATAATAAAGTAGGAAGATGGCTTAAACATGAGAAAAGAATGCTGTGTGCATACTCTTGAGTTGCAGACTGAAGACAAAGTCACACAGTTATTTTGAAAGCTGTTGTCTCACTTATTGATGCAACCTCCCACAAAGATACATTATTGTATACATTTAGCCCTGCACACAATTTACAGTTTAAATTGCAGCATCACCATTATAATCAGTTGAGATAAAAGTTTTATAATTAACTTCAAAGACAAGGAAAAAGGTTGAATGTTTCCTCCTCTTGATCGATTGAACAACATTCAATTGTTTGCCAGGTTATGCGTTCCTGCTGTTTCAAGAGGAAAGCTCAGTCCAGGCCTTGATTGATGCCTGCCTTGAAGAAGATGGAAAACTTTACCTGTGTGTATCTAGCCCTACAATCAAGGACAAGCCTGTAAGTGAAGCAGTGATCTGAAAGCTTTCCTGATAGAAGAGCACAATGCGTGGTTCGAAACAGAAACTGTAGAACATTTCTTGCTCTGATCATCCACAAGAGAAGGGGATAGCTCAGCAGAGTTGATTATAAAATATTTCAGTGATCATTTATTAACATTTTCTTACTAGTAACACCTGAATCTAGCAGTCTTTTGTTTTTTTAAGTTAGGTATGCACCTGTTCTTTATGTTTATTTTGGCTAATGTATAGCCCTACTTTCATTTACTTTGGGAGAATAACATTTATAACATCCATCTGGTACTGTGATCCCTGTAACATTCTTATTTCTAATAAAGAAGAAAAATAATATTCAGCAGTGGAATGATTCAAACGTTAATATCCTGAAAGAATTACATATAATTCCTCATTATACAGAGACTGTAGCAATGTAGTTGAAAAGAAAATGTCAACAGTTTCTTTGTTATACTACATGGATGCTTCTACCAAAGCACCCCCGTATCATTAATTGCTTTCTATCATTGTTGATTTTGAACTTCAGGGAAATAATTGCTAACTAAAAACCTTGATTACTAACCATAGGTTTTCTAGATCAACATTTGTTTTTTCTCATCAGATTTGATACACCTTGGGAATGTCATACTGCAGCCATAATTAAACATTTCATGTGTCTCTGAATGTTTTGTTCATACATAACAGAATATTTTTTTTTTTGTTTTAATAGGTGCAAATCCGGCCCTGGAACCTGAGTGACAGTGACTTTGTCATGGATGGTTCACAGCCACTGGACCCTCGTAAAACCATTTTTGTAGGAGGAGTTCCTCGACCCTTGAGAGCCGGTAAGCTAAGAAACGGTAGCACGTACATGTTATAGGAGTGATTGAACACAAATTTTACACTAGAAATATTTGACTGGAATTAGTTACTCATGTGTTTGTGAAGGTTAAAAAACGGAACTTAGGGTTAAGGAGGTATGCTGTAAATCTCAAATATCCAGGGGAGGGACCGTTTTTTAGGGTAGGGTGATGTTGAGATACACTACGTGGCCACTATAAAATTGGGAGGGATCCCCCTGTCTGAGCCCCACCTGCCTTTTATAGTTTTAAACTATAAGTGGGTATCATAAAGCTATAATGGGTATTTAAAGTCATAAAATAAAATTGGTAAAACGTCTAACCAAATTTATTAAATTTCTTTTCATTATGTGGGTTGTAAAAGAATGGTCAATAAAAATAACCCATTCTGTACAACTTGAAAGAAGTGTTGGACGTGTCAGTCTTCACATTTTACAAATGTGTGGAGAAGCACTGCAACTATTTGATGACAAGTTACAAGTTATAACTTGAAGCTCTTGTTCTTTCACAGTGGAGCTGGCTATGATCATGGATCGTCTGTACGGAGGAGTTTGCTATGCAGGAATTGACACTGACCCTGAGCTGAAGTATCCGAAAGGCGCAGGACGTGTGGCCTTCTCCAATCAGCAGAGCTACATCGCGGCCATCAGCGCTCGCTTCGTTCAGCTGCAGCACGGGGATATTGATAAACGGGTAAGGGAAGCTTGCACTTTCTCCGGCTTCTCTAGAGAGACGGAAGAATACTGGGGGAACGATCCAAGCCTCCTTTTCATGGACGTTGAGCTGCATAGCAGAAGAACTGCTTTTGAGAGTACACAAAGTCTTTGAACAACATAACAGTACCACAGTAACTTATAGAGGCCAATGAGCTGCTTGACAATAATGGAATAAAAATCACTTCTACTGTCTAGCAGTAGCAGTTTCATTTTGAATAATATATGTAGTTGCTGTTTTTCACCAAGTTTGAAATCTCTTGGGTTAATTTCTATTTGTATCATTCAAGTTACTTATTTTTGCCTTATGAAAATGAAGAAAATCAGCTGCTTTTTCAGTGTTAATTATCTTTCATCTTACAGAGTTTTATGTTAAAGCTACTTTGCATATTTTAAATTATTATGGTAAAATGTTACAATATGTATTCATCAGTGTTTCTCTGAATGCATAATTAATGTATTATTTGCAGATGGCTGTAATGAGGACTATAAATTATAAACGGAAAATATAGACATTAATTCATTGCACTAGTGTTAAGCTACACAGATGTGACAGTAATGCTTATCAGGTTCTTAGTGGAATCAGTGTAATCCAATGGCAGTGGAAGTGGAACCACAAATCCTGGAAGAAATCATGATTTTTAATGATTGACTCAGTTTGAGTTTCACTGCAGTTGTCATTACAAAATTCAACATTCGTCTTTGTCATCACAAGGGCACCATTTCTCCAAGTTATTTTTCAGTCACAAATGACTACATGTATATTATGTACACATAGAAGGTTTTGTAATGTCTTTTAAAATATTTAAGTTTTTAGGCTGGGTCTGAATATAACTGCACATACATATCAAATCACTTTTTTAAATGAACTGACAAAAATAATTTATGGAGAGTTCTACCAGCTGAAATAAAACTGTTGTGGCTAGACGTAATAACGTTGAGGCCTTCTGCACCAGATCTGAAATGTTTCTTAAGCTATTGTAAATTTATTTGTGTTCCCACAAATGTCTGATGATTCAGAAATAAATATAATTGTTAAAGATTTGAGTTAAATTCAACAGTCAAGCCATTTAAAGCACATTTCCTACTTTAACATTGTGGCTTAAAAGTAATAACGTTGAGACCTTCTGCACCAGATCTGAAATGTTTCTTAAGCTATTGTAAATGTATTTGTGTTCCCGCAAAGCCTGATGACTCAGAAAAAAATATAATTGTTAAAGATTTGAGCTAAATTCAACAATCAAGCCATTTAGGCACATTTCCTGCTTTAAATGTTTTTTTACATTGCATATTTAGGCAAAGAGAAAAAAAGGAAGCAATCTGTCTCAGCTTATTGAACTTGAAATCAAGTCTACAACAGTAAAGGATGTGTAACATTAAGAGTGTATGCCAAGTTTAGTTTTGTGATTTTTTTTCCCTGTTGGACTCATCTTTCAGAAACCCTCTGAAGTAATATATTCCTCATAGATATGGTAATAAATTCCATATATTATTGGCAGAGTTAGAAGCGCATGAAGCTGAAGTCATCACTGTAGTAAAATTGCTCTCATCTGTTGGAACTGCCAAATTCAATGCCCATCAGGAGCAATCACTGTAATATCTTCTATCAAGCTCTATTGTTGTCGTGCAGAAAGCCCAGGGTAGCTTATCCAAACGGCCTGCGTGGTCAGCAGAGACTGCACATGCAAATTGCTCTCTTTCAATGCCGAGTGTTCTCTGGCAGCAGGCACAGAAGGTACTTTCTATCAACCACAGATGCACAATGATTTTCTAAAGGCCTCCATAGGTTTACATTGCATTTTGTGTTTTGGGAATATTTTGTATCCCATTTGTCAGCATCCACTTTTTTATCCATTTTCCTCCTCATTTATCATCAACCAGTTTTGCTTATCCTTTGTAAAACTAGATAATTCTGAACTTCACAATTTGGTAGGGAGATGTGCAGTCAGGGTTCATATTTACCTTTAAGAAAAACAGATGTGATAGGAAATGGTGGTTTGAAACTCTTCAGAAGTGCGTTGTTTATTATGCTTCGTATTACATTACATTCTATGAGGCTGTGCCTGTGCAGTTTTGACTATAAGAAAATTGCTGTGAGTTAAGGAAAAGTTGCTCAGCATGGCTTTGCACCTGTTCCTGGACTGGGTTGTGTTTTATTGCATTTGCATAGCTTTAGTTTATGAATAATCATTGCTAGGTGTGATGCTCCATGGGGCTGTTCACAGCAGGGGCACTGGTTTTAGGTCTGACGACAAAGTGAACTTTATTTATAGTGAACTATTTACATTGCTGGCTTCAATTCTGGCATAGCAACAGCAGCTTATGGATATTCTAAGCCAAGCGGCTAGTATGGTAGCCCTGTAGCCCGTAAGATTATCATTGTGTCTTGAATGGTGGTTCAGCAGCTGGTGTTGTAGTACACCAGCCTATGAGGAGTAACAGCACCTGGTCTTCGGCCCGAAGGCTTGTGTTACAGCCCAGTGGCTGGAATCTTCAGCCCTGAGGCTGAAATTGTAGTGCTACAGCTTCTGTTATAATAACACCGCAGGTATGGTGGTCCTACAGTCGATATAGGTCTTCCCCCGTGTATTCTAGCTCTATCCTCTCTCCTCCTCTTCACTCTCCTTTCTAGCTTTTCCCCTGTCTTCCTCTTTTCTTTCCTGTTTTCTCTCCTGGATCGGTGCTCTATTTTTGTGGGCTGGAGCAGGGAACATAGCTGATCCCTGCTCCAGTGATTGCCGGCTTTCACCATCTTGGAAGCAGGGTATCCAGTCAGCCATCTTAAGTTAGGGGGGAAAGCTTTCAAAAATTGCAGGAATCATCGTGGAAAGTAATGTCCATGAAGGCCGCTGCATCACAAACAACAACCAATCATTGGGCATCAGCCTAATTTGCGGATTTGATTACTTTTGCAACTGTAACCGATATGTGCCAAATTGGAATGCGATTTTAATTTCAGTATTATTTGTTCATTTTTATATTCTAATATCTTTGAGAATGAACATGATCCAGAAAATCTCCTTTTCAATTGAGATTGTGCACACTAAATAATGTCTGATTTTAATTTGAACTTTTCATAGCCAGATAAAGTGTTAGAGATTATATAAATGCCCAGCTGACTCAAAACAATTGTCTTTTGTTTTTTCACTGAAGGTGGAGGTCAAGCCATACGTGCTGGACGATCAGATGTGTGACGAATGCCAGGGAGCCCGCTGTGGGGGGAAGTTTGCCCCTTTCTTTTGTGCCAATGTCACTTGCCTGCAGTATTACTGTGAGTTTTGCTGGGCAAACATTCATTCTCGTGCGGGGCGCGAGTTTCACAAGCCGTTGGTGAAGGAAGGGGCTGACCGTCCGCGACAGATTCACTTCCGCTGGAACTGAAGGCCACGGCAGAGGATCAGCGAGATGACGCAAGAATGCATGTGGCTTATTATGAATGAAGATACCAAGACCTTGAGGCAGAAATAAGTGCATTCTTCTGCCTCTTACCCTAAGCTATCAATACAGTACATATATCTTTTGTAGCAGCCAAAACACTACAAGCCTCTGTTTTTCACCAAAACCCTACATCTCAGGCTTTACTAACTTTTTTGTGGTACTTTCATGTTTTTTAAAGAAAAAAAAATGGATTTTTTGTAGTTTTTCAAATTATTTTTATATGTAAAATTTAAACTAGATATGAGAATGTTTTTTGCATGGGGGCGCACTGTCTGCTGCTATCTCCAGTGGGTGAAGCGTGCACTTATTTCTGGGAAACCTTGATTTTAAACTCTCTTAAGACCTGCCCCAAGTGATTTACCAAAGGTAGCAAAAATGATAGGAGGCAAAGTGAAACATTTCTGCCACAAAACAAATTTTATTTTTTATTGTTGCTATTTGCTGTGTATTCTTATTGAAAAATAGGGTTACTTTTTGCTCTCCATTTTGACTTGCAAAAAAATAATACCTCATTATATTAATCTGGTTTGTTATTAGCTATTTTAAACATTTTTAATCACAAGCTGTATTAGAAGCTTTGCTGCTATATATAGGTGTTATATATAATGCCATCTATTAATACGGGATTTAGAAAAGAAAACCGATAAACTGCATTGCAAGCTGAAATGCAGGTGGCACACGTGGCCTAAACTGCCATAATGATTCTAGAATGTGAAAACTGAACTGCATGTTTACTTATTAATATTCTCCATATGCATGCAATGTAAACATTAATGATACTTATAGGAGAAAAAAACAGTTACTAAAAACGTATTAAAAACTCTTAAGTAGCATGAACAAAATTACGGAAGCTAGGCATATTAAAAAAAATGATAAAAAAGTACCTTGCATGCATCAATGTGATCAGTTACCAGTGTCCTACATATATATATACAATAAGCAAACTTAGTTTTAGATTAGAACGTGCAGCCATTTTGTGACCTGGTGGTTAGTGAAATTTTGAAAAAAAAATGCAGACTGGATGTTATATCGTAGTTCCTGTGCAGTTTTTGTGATTTGTGGTTCTATTTAGTGTGGAGTGAGATTTTAGTGTAGTTACACTTTGTGATGTAGAGCAAGACATATTCTGCCCCTTTTTAGCATGTAGATGAACATGGCTTCGATGTCCTCTGCAAACCAAAGATGGCCAGCTCACTGCTAGTAGCAAAATTCAGTAATCTAGGAAAAAGGAGGTCAAAGTAGTTTTAGTATGGCTTTGCTATAGTTACTTATCCAGGTAAAGTCAAAATGGAGATAGTGTTTAAATAAGGGGATGATTGCATTGTGCAAATGTGCAGTTAGACTGGAACAAGAAGTATCTTTGGTTATAAGTCACTTTTACTTTATGCTGATCTATAAACCAGAATGATGCAGTATGTCTTTTGGTACTTTTGGAATACGCAGTGAGAAAGAAAAGTATGTTCTCTCAATAGTAACACTAAAAAAAAAAGGTAACACGATTTTCAGTTTATCAAAACTGGAAACTGGAATCAACAACAAATATCTGCTTGGAAAAAAAAATGAAACAAACACGTTGGTTCAATTCACTTTAGAACTTCAGTCAGAGTTCAATGCCAGTTGATTTCTGTTTAACTTAAAGGCAGAATTTTAAGTTGAGTTGAGGAGATTTGAAATCTGCAATGTTGATTTCTGTAAAGCTCAGATCTGCCTTGGTGTTTAAAGAGCAAGGTCACAGAAGGATGAAAAAGAAAATGATCACAGTGAATGATAAAATATTGTAAAGTATCTTGTTTAAGTGGAATTGTGAGACTGTAAAACCATAAAGGATAAAGAATTGGCCCCCTAAGACCATTTAAAATTTCCTGTGACAACTTCCCCAGATGTTCATTGTATTAGCAATCTGCAGAGTAACAGTCTTTGTGTGATGTTTTCTGATAGTGATAATACAAGGATGTTGCTCTAAATAACTCATAGGGACAATCTTTCTGTGAGCAGTGTTGATCTTGAATATGGGTGGTGGACTGCTGTGCTTTTTTTGTACTGTATTTTGTGTTTCATGCCCAAGTCTGCTGTTTTTATGGTGGTCGTGATTCAAGCTTTTAATGTTCAATGTTACTGCTGTGTTAAGGAGATGAGGTCTTTTTTTACTAACTTATTTATTTATGTTTTCTATTTGTTACTTACTCCTGGTCCTTTAGACTTTCTTAAGCTATTATTCTTTCCCTGCCAAACCTTTGACAGTTTAGACCATTTGTTATGCACTACTTTTATATGTTTTTAGTCATTTTTATTTTTTCTTATTTATATTTCTCTTAATGGTTGGCTGTCTTTAAGGCATTAGGTGTTTTTTGTGCTATACCTCAACATTAATTCAAAAGAAAAAAAAGACTTTTGTTGACTTTCTCAGAACTTCTCCCTGTATTTTCATCTTAAGAGGTGATTTAATCAAATTTATTGTCATAAGTTATTTAAAATAGTAAAAGGCTCTGAGCCTGACATATATGTGAATTAATATACTAATCTAATATATTAATGACAGAAAAGAGTTGTTGCAAAAGGCAAATTACTTTCGCAGACTGAGGGATTACATGAAAAAAAAGCATGATGAACGGTGACTGAGTTATAATGATAAAATAGTAATTTTAGTTTATAGTTACATCTAAAATTAACTATACAGTGCTTTGGGAAAAAAATATATTTCTCTCCTAACTTTTAGTTTACTCCTCTCCATATTTTCTCTGATTTTGTTAAATTGCTATCCTCTGTAATAATGAGGTAGCAAGGGAAAAAAAGAGAGAGACTTGTCATTAATCATGTTACTACCGTAACACTCAGCTTTCCATGTTTTTTGTATGTAATATGTCTTATTTTATATTTGTTCAACACTGTTGCATGTTTTGGTAAGATCATATTTATTTCACTATTTTTGTAGACAAAATATCTATTTGATTTTGATTGTATTTTTCTATTTCAATAGGCTTTACACATTTTTTTTCCCCTTAATCTCTGTAATTTTGTCCAGATGCAGGGTTCTGCAGAAAAAAATATTCTAAATCCATGCAATCTTATATATTTTTCTCCATTGTTTTAAAGAAGGAAACCTTAGTATTTATATTAAGTTCATGGAAAACACTTGAGATTTTATCCCTGTTGCATCTGGCCTCAGTAGGCCTCTCCTCAAAGATGCTACAAAACTTGAATATAACACATTTTGAAAGGCTGACTAACCTCGATTCTGTGTTGTGATGTGCAATACTGTTTCTAATGTTTGTATAAAAGAATAACAGTGTAAACCTTTTTAATGCAGATTTATTTTTTTCATTGCATATTTTGCAGATTTTATTATCCACAGTGTCATTTTTTACTGTCAAAAAAAAGAAACCCCTTTTGTCATTGCAACTATTTTTAAATCCAGATATCTTTGTACTGAAGTTAATGACTGTAATTATTTTGGATAGTGTTTTGCTAACAAAAGGAGAGACTTTTTCATGCATATTTCTATTTTGTTCCGTTTTGTTGTTTTTTTTTAATTTAATTTTATTATTTTAATAGTAGCAAAATACTTGGAATAATTTTTCATATTATGTGTCATTAATATTATTTTGTATTTTTATGTGGAAATATATATATAATTTTATGATGCTAATTGCTAAAATTTATTTTATGTTGAATTATTTTTGGAGCTAAAATCTTTGTAATATTGTTAAAGTAACTAGTTTCTAAATCAGAGTTTGTGTATAGATTCACACAAGTGGTTTACGGAGTGTTTGGATTGTAATTATTACTGAATGGTTCTTTGATATGCAAATTAATATTTGGTTGATTTTTATTTTTGTTTTGTATTTAAATGGGGTGTTAATTAGTTTTATTCATTTCCTAAATAAAAACCCATTCTGTTTGGACACAAGAAGATCACCTTCAGCTTTGTTTTTTTTATTTTTGTATTTCTGTGCATCTTTTTTTATTCAGGTCAGGTGTTTAATTCTCCAGTCTTGTCTGTTGTACTGGTAATTTAACTCTGTAATGGAATAGTTTGCTGCCAACTATTTATATTACGTAATTTTTAAATATTTGTAATATTGTTGATTGAATTAATAAACCATTAAATTATTGGCATGTTTGCTTTTCACTGAAAATGATTTGGCCTTTATTGCTTGTGCTGAGGCAATCTTCTCCACAATACTACAGTTTTCCAGTTAAAATCCAGCTCATATTTAGGGTGTTTGCAGCAGCACATGTAAGGCATGAAACTTTCATTGTTCTCTCACACTGGCTGGTTGGTTTAGGTACAGAGTGTTGCTGACACTTAGTTTGGTTTTGTTTGGCTAATTGAACAGATAATTTCATCCAGCTATTTCTTTAAAGAAGCCTGGACATCATTTCAACTTCGGGACTGGATATTTCTTCAGACTCACACAACCCAAGAGTTTGTTTATCATTGTTCCTTTTACATATTTTATTATCCACAGCGTCGCTTTTCACTGTAAAAAATTTAAACACATTTTGTCACTGCAACAATTTTTTGCAATTAATTTTAATTTAAGAAAGGTTTCAAACTGGAGTAGGGCATTCAGCCCAATTTAGCCTATTTGGTAGTTAGTAGCTGATTGATCAGTGGATCTTGTCCACCCATTTCTTGAAGGGTATCAACTTCAACATGACTTGGTACATGTTCAATAGTCCGACAACCCTTTATGTACAGTAAATAAGTGCCTACTGTTCTGTTTTAACTGCACTTTCCTGTAGTTTCCACTTGTGTCTTCTGGTTTGTTTCACTGCTGATTCTGACGAGGTCCAATTGGGTTGACTTTGCCCGTGCCTTGGAGTATGTAGAATACTTGGATCATGTCCCCTCATGTTCTTTTCTGTAGAACACTTTAAAAGTTCAGTTCTTACAGCCTGTCAATGTAGGACATTCCTTTAAGCCCTGGAATGCATCTATTTGCTCATCTTTGGACTGATTCCAGAGCAGTAAAGGATTTTCTATAATGCCATGACACAACTTATACACTACACAGTAGTTTAAATGAGGACTTACTAAGGCATTGTCTAATAACATCCCTTGGTTAAAATTCTACACTTTTAACAATACCATATATCCTCCAGCTTTGTTTAACTTTGTATTGCTTTCCCACATTGTATAGAAGTTGCAAAGAAGTAGAATTTCATAGTACAATAATGATAGAATGGAGAACATCATTTTCTTGAACTAGCTGTGTAGTTTTATCAGTTGTTGCTGTGCTGTTGACAGTAATTGTTTTAAACAACGTTTAAACATTCTGAAGTTGACTAACCCTAACAAGTGTTTTGAATGGACACGATAATCTTATCAAATTTAAATTTCAATATAGTTACCATTTTCTTTTTACATTTTAATTTCTAAATGACTTACTATAGTTTGTATTATGATTTTTCTGACTTCATGCAGGAAGTAAAGTAATTGCAAGATTACTTACAATTTATACGGTACATGAAATGCTTGCACAGTACAATGAGGTGTAAAGCCTTTTTAGCATTAGATGAATATGATTTAATACAATTATAATATAATATCATTTAATCTGATTTTTTTAAACGTCATAACAAGGAGGGCTATACAGTGGTGCAGTGGTTTGCATTGCTGCCTCACAGCCTTTGTGTTCTTGTGTGTTTCCTCTGGGTGTTCAGGCTCCTTCCAGACACACTGGTAGGTTGATTGGCTTCTGGGAAAAGTGGTTCGGGTGTCCCATCCAGGGTGTATCTTTCCTTGCACTCGTTGCTTTCCAGGGTGGGGTAAAATGAATGAATGGATGTATAGTAAATAATAATACTTTTGATGGATTCTCTCATCTGACAAGTGCTATGATTGAACAGGTTACATCTTGTTCTGAAGTTCTCCGTGTGAGTGGGTCAGGGTGATTGTTTTTGGACCAATTATTGTTCTTTGGTCAAAGCTTGTTAGCAGTCGTATGCAGTGCAGTTGCGAGCATTGCATCTTCTTGAAATGGCCTCACGTTCAATTGCACAATTTCACCTCTGACAAGGTGGCGTAGGCCTATATTGTCTTAATAGATGTCAATATGGTGTCTTGTACATTATTGTATAATTGGAATTTCAGAAGAAACAATTTTACTTGGCATTTCGATGTTTTCATTAGTAGTTCATTGGTGAATATTATTAATTTTATTCATTTTTAAATTGTTATATATGCTTTAAACCAGTGGTTCTCAAACTTTTTGGACTAAGTACCACCCCTGATCCAACCAAAGCATCCAAGTACCACCTACAAGTCATCATCTCATAGGAACCCCAGAAATTCTCAATGAGCACGCGTGCACACACACTCACACATACATATAATAAATATTATTATAATAATAAACTTTATTTGATATAGCGCCTTTAAAGGTGGCTTCTCAAAGTGTTTTACAGAAAAAAAACAGTAACAACAACTAATAAAAATGCACCATTTCAGTGAGAGGGGTGAGCCTGTTTAGTCGAGCAAAGTAAATGTGAATTAATTTTTCTAGCCTTGATACAATTCACAACAGAGTCTAACAGATTTTAAATTGTCAGGCATTTTCTTGACGGCAAAGGTCTCGCGGTGGATGCTGCAATGCGTCCATTCATTTCTGGAGCAACCTCTCATTCACGCAACTACACCGCTGTGTCGGCTTGTCATCGCTCTAGCACCGTCTGTACAAACTCCGACACATTTTGTCCAGTCGATGCCATTCTCTTCGATAAATTCATTCAGAAGCTGAAATATGTGCTCTCCTGTAGTTCCTGTGGGTAGCGGCTTACAGAACAGAAAGTCCTCATGGGATGTACCCTCAAACTCGTATCTAACGTAAAGGAGGAAATTGGCCAAATCGACTACAGACTCATCTAATTGCAGTGAAAAACATCTGCTCATCTTAATGCACTCTATCAGCATACTTTTTATATCATCCTTCATTTCAATAATTCTATGAATGACTGTGTCTTTCAAGGGGGGACAGCAGGTCGAGCTGTTTAGCAGCTTTTTCTCCACACATAATACGTGTCAGCTCTTTTGCCAACGGTAAATAAGGTTCTTCAAAAATAGCGTGGCTTACCTGCTTTAGCAATCTGCAAGCTTGCATTTTTCTGCGTTTCCGTTTTTATTTCCGTATTTAAAGTTTTTATTTCATGTGCATGGGAGCGAAACACAGAGACACTTTGTGTTTTTTTACTCAAATTAACTTAGAACAGTTCTTAAATATTTTTCTGTTATCTGTCACGCTTTCCTGTGCTCACAAGATTACCAGCGTTCGTAGCACATATTTCTATGCATTCCTGTGTTAACGTTGGCATTGTTCCAAAATCATGCACATTCTTCTTCCTCCCTAATTGCTGGAGATACAGTAGCTTTTTTAAATACAATTGGTCACTTGCGTCTGTAGCACGCATTCCTATAGAGCGGTATAGAATTACAGAGTATCTCTTGTGTCCACTGAGGTATTAGCGCGCATTGTATCGTAGTACATAGGCTGCATATTCGACACGTATTAAAATACAAAATATGAAAACCCGTCCCGATTTTTCAGCACACACGACACAGTTCCAGGGTCATTTGGCGTACCACCTGGCGGGTCTCCGCATACCACTGCTGGTACGCGTACCACAGTTTGAGAACCACTGCTTTAAACTATAGTGATGTTTTGCTTTCCTAGTGTTGACTTTACTGTAGGTTCTGCATGGCAAAGCAGACATTCTTTCCATATCCACAACTATGTTTTGCTAATTTAGTGTGTGACGAGAGTCCAGTATATCTAAATATAGAAGTGTCACAGAATCAATACAGTTTTGAATACCTCATTTATTTCTGCCTGTATTTCTTAAAAACATTTTTTGCACATTTTATATGTCTAGTCTGTCTGTGCGCAAGCACCACTGTGGCTATTGATTGTTGTGCTCCAAGTGGAATAAACAGAATGCAAAGTTTGCATTTTTCCATCGCTATTAATAGATCAAATGTGTAATTGGTGCCAGTCAAAATGTCAAGTGTGAGGCTATGCTATGTTCAAAATTAAATCCTCAGCACTTAGACTGAAACCAGCAGCAAGGACATGAGTAAAATTGGTTAACTGGGCTAAGGCTTCAATTTATAATCCTTCTGCCATTATTTAACATTATCTTCCTTTAATTGCATAAATTACCTTAAATTAATTTCCAACCATTTAAATTAGATTATAAATTAAATTTTAAAAAGTTAACCCAAAGACCACTTAATGTCTTCATGGAATCTTGACTGTTTAGGAACAACACTGCAAATAAAATAGATGGCTGAGCAATTCTCAACCATAAGTAAATATTAAACACAGGGAATAGGTAGATAAGACAATGGTAGAGAAAATTTAACATAATGTCTTAACACAAGAAAAAATACAATCTTATAGCAAGATTTTTTCATCTTTAGCTAAAACTAAAATAAATAGTATTTGACTCAACTGTAAATAACAGTGAAACAATACTATTTTTTTCTAATGTTATGATACCAAAAGATCCCTGGCAAACAGTATTACAACACATACTGTTATGAAGTCATAATATAATTAATTAGATTCATTTACTGATTACTGTAATCTTTCACATTAAACTGCTCAAGTGCCCACTGAAATTATTTCATCTTTACTTTCCCACATTATAAAAACACACCCCTATAAACACACCAATCACATCAGCGAGTCTATAAGGTGACCTTGACATTTTTTGTTGACTTAAAACTATGACTATCTTCAGATACATTTTTCAGCACACTACCCTGGGAGGGTTGATGAGTTAGCATCTTTACATAGGAAGAGGTTAATGTTCATTACTACACATAGTGATATCTTATTTGTAGTTCACATAAATGATGGATAGTAATTGCCATTGTTTTTAATAGTCTTTGCTTGAGGCAGACCAGTGTGATGAGCAAGTCATTCACTGCACTAAAAAGAGATTGGGACACAATGATATATATATAATAGATGGCACTGTTTGCTCATACGAAAACAACACCGATGTTTCAGCATTATTTATTATTATTTATTATTTTACCTACTTTTGGTGTTTCACATTCTTTGCTCTTGCGATTCGGTCAGAGAAAACATTGTTTTGTGCTGGTCTGCTGC